CAGACTTTCCTGCCTGGGCTGGCTTTGAACTGAGATTCTCAGATATCAGCCTCCTGAGTAGCTAGGATTACAGGTATGAGCCACAGGCGCCCGGCTCCTTTCCATGTTTTTATAATTCATTTATTTTTTATTTTTGTCAATAGTGGGGCTTGAACTCTGGGCCTGGGCGCTGTCCCTCAGCTCTTCAGCTCTAGGCTAGTGCTCTACCACTTGAGCCACAGCGCCACTTCCGTTTTTTGATGGTTTATTGGAGATAAGAGTCTTGTAGACTTTCCTGCCTGGGCTGGCTTTGAACCATGATCCTCAAATCTCAGCCTCCTGAGTAGCTAGGATTATAGGCATGAGCCACTGGAACTCGGCTATATTTTTATTTTTGAGATATGCTCTAACTGGGGTTGGGAAGGTGGCTCAGCGGTAGAGTGCTTGCCGTGCATGCAAGAGGCCCTGGGTTTGATTCCTTAGCACCACATAAGCCAAAAAAAAAAAAAGCCGGAAGTGGCGCTGTGGCTCAAGTGGTAGAGCTTTAGCCTTGAGCTGAAGAGCTGAGGGACAGCGCCAGGCCCAGAGTTCAGGCCGCATGACCGGACCCCCCACCCAAAAAAAAAAAAAAAAAGATATGCTCTAACTGTTTAGTCCAGGTGGGCCTGGAACTCAGTCCTCCTGCCTGAGCCTTCTGAGTGCTGGCATTACAGGCTTACGCAGCCTCACAGCACATTTGTAAGGCTTCTTTTTAATGTCAGTACTGGGGCTTGAATTCAAGGCCAGGATGCTTCCCTTAGCTTTTCTGCTCAAGGTTGATGTTCTATCACTTCAGCCACAGCTCCACTTCTGGCTTTTTGGGAGATGAGTCTCATGAACTTTTCTGCCCAAACTGGCTTTGAACTTCGGTCCTCAGATCTCAACTTTCCAAGTAACTAGGATTGCAGGTGTGAGCCTCTGATGCTCAGCTTCCTAAGAAGGTCTTTATACCCTGCTTTTCCTGTGTGTTGCAAAACCCACACAGTGGACACATGTAGGTCACTTTGTGCCCCTCTGTAAGTCTTTCTAGGGCTGGTTCCGAGATGTGCAGCTGCCCGCCTTAGAGGAGGTACACTTTTGGTTTGACTCCGCTTGACTTCGTTGGTCTTGGGAGCAGCTATCCCTTGCATTGCCCAGCATGGCCTGTCAGCTCCCACTCCACAGTTTCATGGTTCCCAGGTGTTAGGTAGACAGTAGAGCCCTTCCATTTCCTGATTGTGAAAACGTGGAGCATTCTTTCTCCAATATTAGTTGGAAGGACTTGTTCTTTTCCTTCTCTCTCACCACCTTGTCTCCCTCCTAGAAGGGAAAGGGGTATCTAGGGTACACGTGTGGAGCCTATTCCGAGCAGGAACACGGTGGGCTAAGGGGGGTCTCCAGAGACCCTGCCTGCTCATCAGGGACCACAGGTCTTCTGACCAGTGTTCTTGACTCTCAGGGTTTACTGCCTGGAAATGCGTGAAGAGCGGCAAGAGCGGCTGAGGTTTATCGACAAGCAGCTGGAACTCTTGGCTCAGGACTATAAACTTCGAATTAAGCAGATAACAGAGGAAGTGGAAAGGCAGGTGAGAAATGAGGAGGCACTGTGGGGACATTTGGGCACAGAGTTGAGTCCAAGATGCTGGAAAAAATGTCAAGTAAGACCTCCTTGTGATAGGAGCCTTCAGAGCTTTCCGGAGGGAAGTGGCGGCCTTGTTTCAAGAATACAGAGCTTCTTCTTGGCTTCCCATACTGGGACAAGGACCTGGGCAAGGGCCTGTCCTTTGGGCCTCTGCCGTGGGTCAGCTAAATGTTGCTCAGATCCTTCCACCTCAAAAGCTTTGGTCCCTTAAGTGAGCAGAAGAGACTGTTTCACACAGCAAGCGAGACACTTAGTCTCTCATGCTGCAGGATGGAGTCATGTCTTCCTAATATCTAACGGTGCTTCCCTTGGCTGCAGGTGTCCACAGCGATGGCCGAGGAGATCAGGCGCCTCTCTGTGCTGGTGGACGAGTACCAAATGGATTTTCACCCTTCTCCCGTGGTTCTCAAGGTTTACAAGAATGTGAGTCAGCCCTTGAAATTCTTCATTATTGGGCAGAGTCACATTCAGACAACCGTTTAGCCCTGGCCAGCCTGTGTCAGGGCCCCTAGTAGTGAAGGTAGATGCCTGGGTCCCCTTGGTGGGTCTGGCTGACCATCCTCTTACCTCCTCATCCTGTGACTCACAGAAGGAACTCCTAAGAGAGTGCTGCTACTCTTCTTAACCTCTTTGTGCTGCTGCAGGAACTGCACCGCCACATAGAGGAGGGACTGGGCCGAAACATGTCTGACCGCTGCTCCACAGCCATCACCAGCTCCCTGCAGAGCATGCAGCAGGACATGATAGGTCAGTGCACGGGAGAGCTGGGGACTTGGGCCTCTGGGGCTGCCTGGGGTCAGGTCAGATGTCACTGTCCATGGTGACTCAGCACCTGCAGGTTCTGGGTGTGTGAGTGGAGAATCCGTCACGGGCTGTGGTCTCACCCTGCTCCTGCCATGCACAGGAGGCCCCAGTGTTGGCAGGTTGGCGCCTTGGGTTGCACAGTTCTCGGGAGAGCTGGCCGGCCTGACACAGTGAGGCTGTGCCATGGCCCCACTCGTGGTGTGGCTTCCGGGCAGAGCTGTTCATAATCTCTGGCAGCAGCTGGCATGGCCATTGTTGCTAAGGCATGGCAGTGGTAAGGCTCAGGCCCCAGGTTGATGTGCTCCCTCCCCATTTGTGTCCCTGACAGATGGCTTGAAGCCCCTCCTTCCTGTGTCTGTGCGGAATCAGATAGACATGCTGGTCCCTCGTCAGTGCTTCTCCCTCAGCTACGACCTGAATTGTGACAAGCTGTGTGCTGACTTTCAGGAGGACATCGAGTTCCACTTCTCTCTGGGATGGACCATGTTGGTGAATAGGTTCCTAGGCCCCAAGAACAGCCGTCGGGCCTTGATGGGCTACAATGACCAGGCAAGCGTCATTCCTCACCCTGAGGTATCGAGGGAGGTCAGGCTTTTCCCTGACTGCAGACATGCGCTCAGCTATATTACGGGAGTCCCCAGGGCAGACCTTGGTGGCCACCAGGGCTCCTGTGTGGCAGGCCACAGTCACACCAGTGCCATAGCTCAGCCTAGACTTACCCTGATTACAAATGTGAGCTGAGTTGTTTTTCTAATTTTAAAGTAACTGAGTATTAAAAGTAAGTAGGTATGGCTTAAGTTGGTAGTGTTTGCCTGATATATGTGATGCCCGGGGTTCAATCCTCAGTACCACATTTTTTTAAAAAGATTTTAAAACATTTCTCTCAGCCAGTTGGGTTTCTGCTCATGTGAAGCTGATTCACTTTTTTTTTTTTTTTTGGTGCTGGTCCTAAGACTTGAACTCAGGACCTGAGTACTGTCCCTGAAGTTTTGTGCTCAAGGCTAGAACTCTACCTCTTGTGCCACAACTCCACTTCCAGCTTCTATGGTGGTTAGTTGGAGAAAAGATTCTCATAGACTTTCCTGCATGGACTGGCTTTGAACAGCAATCCTCAGATCTCAGCCTCCTGAGTAGTTAGGATTATAGTCAGTGCTTGGCTCATTCTCCATTTTTGCCTATGGAAAATTGAGGAGCGACTCTGTCCCTGTGCTTGCCCCCCTGGCCCCGTGGCTCACTGCGGGCTCATTTGAATAGGAAATGCTACATCCTTCTCACCCTTTGCTGCCTCTCTCCTAGGTTCAACGTCCTGTACCCCTGACACCTGCCAACCCCAGCATGCCCCCACTGCCACAGGGCTCGCTCACTCAGGAGGAACTCATGGTCTCCATGGTTACCGGCTTGGCCTCTCTCACATCCAGGACCTCCATGGGCATCCTGGTGGTTGGAGGAGTGGTGAGTGAAGTCCAGTTCAGGAATGGGCAGCACAGTTCTGGAGGTGGCCCCACACCAGCTCATCACTCCCCAGTGAGCAGAGAGGTTTCTTTCCTGGGGCCCCCAGATCTCTGACAGGCATGGACTGTACCATAAGGAACCTTCGACAGTACAGCTCCTATTTCCCAGATGAGGAACATCTGCAGTGGCTCATTAGGGACACACATGGGGACTTGGCAAAGAAACATCTCCATTTGTAGCAAGGGCTTAAGAGGAAAAGAGGCTATGCTGAGCCTTGAGCCCTCTCCCAAGGCCTTGGTAGCAGGCTGCCCTCCAGTTCACTGCGGGTCTCCCCATGTCCTGACTGAAGACCAAGCAGCCAGAATCCCTTAGACCTGAGCTTTTCGTGATGATATGGGCAAATTCTCCTGTGCATGTCAATGGGTAGAGTGGTGGTGGAGGGTGACTGTCCTGCGTACATCTCCCCCCTGCGGGGCCCCCCTCCCTCGGAGGCAGCAGGTGCCACATGGTTCCATTTAGCATACGTGATAACAGCCACGACCTGAGAGACGGACACTTGATGCTTATGGAGCCCTTCACAGCATCTTGTCCACCCCCACAACCCTGCCATGCCTCTTTTGTGAACAAGAAAACTGGTGGCCTGAGGTCACAGCTGGTGCCCAGCTCTGCACCCTGTGCCCAGCCAGCTCCTGAGGCAGGATGCAGAGTTCTGCTGGTGTTTGTCATCCAAGTGGGACGCCGCTGCAGAACATGCCAGCATGGCGTGTCAAACATGCATGAAACCCCAGGTTCTATTCTCAGCACCGTAAGACAAAGCAAACCTGCTTACCTAGGTCACAGGTTTGGTCTTAACCCACACTTGGCATAAGTCATGTCTCGTGTCTGACACCCAGGTTCCCTCGTTTCCAACTGGAGATAGTCCCTGCCCCTTGGCCTCCCTGGAGCCAAAGGAGATAGGAAGAAAAGAGCTCTTAGTGGAACCTTAAGGCTCCTTGGGTGGGGTTTTGGGCATTCTGGGAGTGACAGGCCCAAGAGGACAGGGATGGGGGACAGAGGGCCTCTGCTCCCAGCTGACCTTGCGTCTCTGCAGGTGTGGAAGGCAGTGGGCTGGCGGCTCATCGCCCTCTCCTTTGGGCTCTATGGCCTCCTCTATGTCTATGAGCGTCTGACCTGGACCACCAAGGCCAAGGAGAGGGCCTTCAAGCGCCAGTTCGTCGAGTATGCCAGTGAGAAGCTGCAGCTCATTATCAGCTACACCGGCTCCAACTGCAGCCACCAAGTCCAGCAGTGAGTGGCCCTGGTCCTCAGGGAGGGTGCTCCTCTGGGTGGGGTCACCTGAGTCCCCTTCAGCCTGACGTGAGAACTGCTGTGCCCAGGGCATTCTGGGTCCTGGGCCTTTGCCTGTGTTGTGTCAGCTTTGAAGCTGGGGATGGGAGTGGGGTCTCAGACTATCCAGTATCCTGGGGCTGGGCCCAGGTAAGCCCCAGTTCCCCAAGCGGGAGGCACAGGAAGAGGAGGGACATGCCCAGTAGTTTTTTTAAAGACCCTTAAGGGGCCCTGGGCTGTGGATGCAGCAGTGAAATCTTAGATTAAAGCCTCCTCATGGTACCCTGCAGGTTGGGGGACCTATTTTGCCTGATCAGTGCTCACATCCTGTTGTATGGCAAAGCCTCCACCAGCCACTTCAAGCTACCTTTTCACTTACCTCTCCAGCTGTTTGGGCTAGTTGCTGTCTCTTGGGGTCTCCTTTTTCAGTATAGAACACAGCTGAGATTTGGAGAGTAATGCCTTGTCTCTTCCCCTCATGCCCAGGTGGGCTGGGGTGGGGTCAGAGTTCCTCATTGTGGCCAGGGCAGAGCCACTGCTGGGTTGTGGCAGGCCTGCTCTGGGTGAGTTGGCATGGAAGGGGGCCTGCCTAAAAAGTTGCACACCCAGCTGATGCCCTCTCTGTCTCCCACAGGGAACTGTCTGGGACGTTTGCACATCTGTGCCAGCAAGTGGATGTCACTCGGGAAAACCTGGAGCAGGAGATTGCTGCCATGAACAAGAAAATTGAGGTTCTTGATTCACTTCAGAGCAAGGCAAAATTGCTCAGGTGAGGCTGGCTCAGAGGGCGTGAGGCAGCAGCCCCCAGGGTGCAGCCAGGCGCTCTGGGGCTCACCTGCCATCTTGTGTCTTGAAAGTAGATACCAGTGCCTCCGGCAGGGATTTAGCTTATTTGTGTCAGATGATCGTCAGGCACTGCTGGGGGACAGGCAGTGCTAGCCCTGGAAGCTCAGCACGACACAGCTCCATGGCCCTCGTGGACTTGCAGTTAGGGGCGAGGTAGGCCCAGACCACGCAGCCTTAGCATTTTTCCTGTGCTGTCTCACTCAGTCTTCACCAGCCCTGAGGGGCAGGAGAACGAGCCATGGGACATGGCACCGAGGGTGTGGAGTGCACAGCAAGCTCTGTTCTATGTGTTGATCTCACACTGCTGGACCCCCTGCCCAAATCTTGTCCAGTTTCTCTCTGAGCCCAGAAAGCACTATGTCCACCCACGGGGACAGGATTGGAGCCAGGCCTCTGGATACACAGAGCTTCCACTAGCACTTTGCCGGGAAGAGTGTCAGTGGGGGAGGAGGGGTAGACTTGGCTTCTGGTCCAGCACTTACTCAGCTGCAGTGTCTCATTGTCCTTACCTGTGAGGTAGGAGTACGATTTCATGACCACCATAGCTGCATGTATGTGGATGAGCTCTGGTAAGTCCTCCACCTGTCCAGCTCATGGAAACATCGGCACCTGGGCATTCATACTTCTTGTCCTGCTTCTGATGTCAGGGGCCTAAGGGGCCAGAGCCGAAGGGTTTCAGCCGCAGTCCCAATCAGATTTGTAGACTTTCCCTCCCTGTGTGGGTGGACATCCCCCTACCTCCCTAGGAAGGCCTTTTCCCAGGATGCTGTTCTCTGGGGCAGCCGCTGTGCAGCTGCTTGGCCTTGGCAGGGGCTGTGAACTGGAACCCCAGGCCTGAGCTTGTTATGAAGGAAAGGCTGGCTTCCTGTGACTCAGAGACTTGTCCCTGGACTTCAGGAAAGCAGACATGGCTCTTTCTTTTTCTCATTTGTAAAAGGGGATAAAGAGGGTTGCTGGATGCTGGATGCTGGTGGTTCAGACCAGTAATCCTGGCTACTCAAGAGGCTGAAGTCTGAGGATCTCAGAGAAGTGTTTAAGACTCTTATCTCCAATTAACCAGCCCCCCCCCCAAAAAAAAAGGTAGTGGGGAGGTGTGGCTCAAGTGGTAGAGGCCTGGCCTTAAGTGAAAAAGCCAAGGCTGCTAGGTGCTGATGGCTCTTGCCTGTAATCCTAGCTGTTCAGGAGACTGAAATCTTAGGATTGCAGATCAGAGCCAACACTAGCAGGAAAGTCCATGAGATTCTTCTCTCCAGTTAACCACTAAAAAGCTGAACGTGGGGCTGGGAAGGTGGCTCAGTGGTAGAGTGCTTGCCTTGCATGCCTGAGGCCCTGGGTTCGATTCCTCAGCAACACATAAACAGAAAAAAAAAGCCAGACGTGGTGCTGTGGCTCAAGTGGTAGAGCGCTACCCTTGAGCTGAAGAGCTGAGGGACAGTGCCCAGGCCCAGAGTTCAGGCCCCACAACTAACAACAACAACAAAAACCAAAAACTCAGGGACAGCACCCATGCCCTCAACAAAGCCCTAGGATGGGCAAAAGAAAAAAAAAAGCCAGAGCAAGGAGAACCTTACTTCAAACCTGAGCACTGGCACCAATAATACCCCCCTCAAAAAAACAAGCTGGGTGCTGGTGGCTACCCCTGTAATCCTAGCTACTCAGGAGGCTGAGATCTAAGGATCGCGGTTCAAAGCCAGCCCGGGCAGGAAAGACCATGAGACTCCTATCTCCAATAAACCACCAGAAAACTGGAAGTGACGCTGTAGCTCAAGTGGTAGAGCACTCGCCTTGAGCTGAAGAGCTGAGGGACCAGCGCCCAGGCCTAGAGTTCAAGCCCCACGATCAACAAAAAAACAAAACAAAACAAAACAAAAAACCCTGAGCATTCTAATCCTAGCTGCTCAAGAGGCTGAGACTAAGGATGATGGTTCAAAGCCAGGCCGGGCAGAAAGTCCTTGAGACTCTTATCTCCAATAAATTACCAAAAACACTGGAAATGGAGTTGTGGCTCAACTAGTGCAGTGTTAGCCTTGAGCAAAAGAAGCTCAGGGACAGAACCCAGGCCATGAATTCAAGCCCAGGACTGGTCAGAAAAGAAGGGGGAGGGGAGCGGGTAACTAGCAGATCAAGTGAGGGTATCTGTAGTGTCCTTAGAAGGGCATGTGGGGGACAGTGCTGGTGTGACCTGGCCTGGACTGTCTGGTACAAAGTAACCATGTCTTTGCAGGAATAAAGCTGGCTGGTTGGACAGCGAACTCAACATGTTCACACACCAGTACCTACAGCCCAGCAGATAGTGGGCAGCGGGGGGCGGGGCCACCCACCCTCAGAGCTTACGGCCCCCAGGGCATGCGCCTCAGTCCCCGGCCACCACTGAAGAGGAAGAAAACACCCACTGTCTCTTGCCATTTTGAGCCCTTCACCAGTTATCCCGGCCCCTGGCCTGCTATTGCAGGAAGAAACTCTGTCTCCCACCCCAAAGGAAATATATATCAACACGCGGAGAGCATGGTACCAAGGAGTTGTGGCAAGGCCCTTCTCTGCTTTCATTGAAGATAAGGGATCTCAGATGTCAGCTCTGCCCTTCATGGTATCAGGCAGACACCCCACCTTCTCCACCCATACATACCTGCCCTCCTTATACCCCAGGGCACCGTACTACGATGGAGTGACTGGATTTTCTTCCCGGAAGCATCTAACCTAGTTCCAGGAAGGCCTGGGCTCACCTGGCAGGACTGTGGCTTGTGTTGTGTGGCCTGCAGCTTCAGCACTCTGTCCTGCTGTGGACAGAGTTAATGGTTTGGTAGCCAGGCTTCGCATGGAGCCCTGAGGCAGCCCTGTGCATGAGGGGTGGGATGCCTCACAGCCAGCCAGAGTAGTGGGAGGAGCTCAGGAGAGGGGGCGTGGTTGGTGGGCGTGGTTGGGAGAAGGTGGTGCTGTCAGAGCTGGGGGAGGGGGTCATCCTGAGGAGGCCTTGCCGGCTCCCTCCCTCTCGTTTCAGTCCTTGGCCTGCATAGTTCTGTGTTATTACTGGTGAGGACTGCTTTGGGTCAAGTGGCAAAAGTATGTAGTAGAAGGGACGGTGAAAGATGGAGACTTGGCATCAGGCTGGGGCAGGGGTCCCCACCCAGCATGGCTGGAGAATGTGGTTGGTACAGAATAGGGTCTCCACCTGACTTGCTCTGAGGGGATCATGGGCCTGAGAGCCCCCACCCCACCAGCTAGATTGCATCCCCACCTTACCTCAAGCTACTCTTGGCCACCGGTTCTCTGGACCGTTCCCTGTGCTGGTGACTGCAGTGATCACCATACAGCCTGAGGAACCCAGCTTCCGTCCTCCCGCTCACCTGCCTTTCAGCTTCGCCAGTTCCCAGAGCTTCTCCTGATATATCAGGCCTCGTGTTGACATTGAGAAATGTTCCCTGCTGTTGAGTTTTGGGATTGCCACTGGTCGGAGTGGGAAAGTTCTGGTCGTCGTCAGTGTTCATGTCCCAGAAAGATGAGCTTTTGGAGAAAAGGTCAGAGCAGAGAGAGAGTGCTGAGACCAGAGCCCCAGGGCGCGGCTGTCCCAAGTGTGGGAGGTGGGGGGTGGTCCAGCGAAGGGCGTGTCCTGGAGCACGTCAGGAGAATCAGTGTCACACAATCCCAAAGAATTCATGTTCTTTTTAAAAAACAAAATGATTTAGAATAAAAATGGATTTGTTTTCAGTGTAGCCCCTTGGGAATGAGTGAAATTTTGAGTTTCTTATACAATAAGAGACATTAAATTTGTACCACCAAGGGAGAGACCGTTTCTGAGAGAAGCGAGTGGCTCAGGGCACTTTGATTTCTGACTGCTGACCTTGCTGTTTTCATGTTCACTTCCTGGAGCGCAAGACATGTTTGACGTGAGTTTCCCTTTGACCTATGTAAGGTGATCTATGTGTCTGAATTACTCCTGTACCATTGCTGATAATATTGGAAAGAAATAAAACCCAGTTGGAACCCTGTGTGAGCCCACTGGCAGCTGGCTGTCCAGCCTGAGAACCAGTGCCCACCTGACCTCCAGGGGCCAGGGCACCCAGAGGGAGCCCTTCAGATCCTCTCTGTCCCAGTTTGCCTTCTGAGAATTTGCCGTGACATACCTCCCTCTCACCCCTTTTCTTTTGGAGGGCCTTGGGGAGTGGGTTCCCTGCCCTTCCTCACCTCTCCCTTTTGAGGCCCCAACCCCTGCCTGTCCAGTCCCTCAGCCCAGCCTCCTCCTCCTTGATTCCCAGACTACAGCAGATAAAGGCTGCATGTTATACGCCGCCACTCCTGTCTCCTAAGTCTTCCTTGACTTGGCCTTACCCCACTTCTACCACATCACCCCAGGCTGACCCCTACCCTCCTCTGCTCTTTGTGACATTTCTGGGCAGCAGCCCAGGGTGGCCTTAGTACCTAGAGCTCAGGACTGCTGCGGCCTGTGCTCCTGCCGGAGTCCACCCAAGTCGGCCCTCACCCCACTCTCCTAGTCAGTTCCTTGCTGTTCTGTACCCTGTGCAGGGCTTCTGCCCTTGGCCTCAGCTGGCCAGCTGCCTGACTTCCTGCTGCAGGCCCAGCTGACTCACCCTCTGTCTCCAAGTTGGCTGAGCTGTCACCTTGGAAAGTGAACTCAGACCACCCTGTTGCTAGTCTCCTGTCCTTCCCCAACATTCGCCTCCATGATGAAGTCTGTGCTTCATTAAGTCGTCTTGACACAAAGAAACATGTTCTGTCTTTGTTATCTCCTGCTTGATGTACACGTGCTAGGCAAGAATCCAAAGTTTGGGTTTATTGACTTTTTTTTTTTTTTGGTCAGTTGTGAGGCTTGAACTCGGCCTGGGCGCTGTCCCTGAGCTCTTCAGCTCAAGGTAAGCGCTCTACCACCTGAGCCACAGCACAACTTCCAGTTTTCTGGTGATTAATTGGAGATAAATATCACACAGACTTTCCATCCTTGGCTGGCTTTGAACCATGATGCTCAGATCTCTGGCTCCTGAGTAGATAGGATTACAGGTTTGAGCCACCAGTGCCCTGCTTGTTTTTTTTTGTTTTTAATATAGTGAGGTTTGAACTCAAAACCTCATGCTTGCTAGGCAGGTCTTGAGCCACCTCCCCCCATTCCCCCACCCCCCTTTATACCAGGCAGCTGGACCTACATCTGACACAGAGACAGAACTTTGTAAAACCTTGATTAATGACCTTGACAACATAGGCCACATATTTATGAGCCCTCTGTCAATGGGGAGTGAGGGCAGAGCTACCAAGTGCTATAAGAAACCTGTTTATGGGTATAGTTTTTTGTAATTTACTGTTATTACAGAGTTGATGTACAGAGGGATTACCATTAGATGAGTCAGGCAACGAGTACATTTTTCTTTTGTACAGTGTCTTCTGTTCCTTCATTCTTTCCCAGTCCCTCCCTCCTGTCTCTACCCATGAACTGTATAGTTCACATTCATCAGTGTCCAGTGAGCTCCACTGTTGTACTTTTTCTCCCTTTCTCCCTTGAGCTCTGTGCTCTTTCCCCCACCCTCCCAAAGATATACACATGACTACAATATACATAAGGTAAAGAAGACAGAATCATACAACACTGAAAAAAGTCTTCTGTTTCCATATCCTGGAGTTTGTTTCAGTACATATATCACTTCATATAAATAGGAAGAGCATTTAGGCACTGTGCCTTTGTGTTTCTCCTAAGAGTATCCTCTTTTAGTCTCACAACGTGTAGCTAGGATCCTGTATAATTTGTCATATATCCCTCCTTGTGCATTTTAGATCTAATTTCTTCATATCAGAGAATATGCACCACTTGTGTCTCTGAGCTTGACTTACCTCACTTAACATGATTTGTTCTAGTTTTTATTCTAATGGCTATGTAAAAATCTATTGTATATAGATACTTTTTTTTAAAATCATCTTGGGGCTTGAACTCTGGACCTGGGCACTGTCCCTCAGTTCTTCAGCTTAAGGCTAGCACCACTTGAGCCACAGCACCACTTCAGGTTTTCTGAGTGGTTTACTGGAGATAGTCTCATGCCTTTTCCTGCCGGGGCTGGTTTTGAACCATGATCCTTAGATCTCCTGAATAGCTAGGATTACAGGTGTGAGCCACCAGTGCCTGGCTAGATACCACATTTTTAAAAATCCACTGGAATTGTGGGGCATCTGGGCTGTTTCCATATCTTGGTTATTGTGAATAGTGTGACAAATGAACATGGATGTGCAGGTGTCCTTATCATATCCTGGCTCTTGATGTTCAGGGTGGGGCCTGAACTCTGGGTCTGGGCGCTGTCCCTCATCTCTTCAGCTCAAGGCTAGCGCTCTACCACTTGAGCCACAGCGCCACTTCCAGCGTTTTTCTTTTTGCTTATGTGGTGCTGAGGAATCGAACCCAGGGCCTCATGCATGCAAGGCAAGCGCGCTACCGCTGAGCCACCTTTCCAGCCCTTTAAAGACATTTAAAGCGTAGTTTTAAGGACTTTTAGGGACAAGTATACCGAGCATTCAGCACTTAACCCATTCAGCTCCGTTGTGGGTACTGAGGCTCAGAGAAGAAACAGACCAACTTTAATCCAACTTTAATCCAAACCCCTGGGTGTGGTGGTAGGTGTGGGGAGACTGATTTTGGACTGTCCCGGCCACTCCATCTCGTCGCTCGTCGCGAGCTGCTGTCCCGTAGACGCGGCAGCGCTGGCCTTCACGCACAGGTACGATGCGGCTGCGCAGGCCCGCGGAAAGGGCGCCACACGCGGGCGCCTCGCGGACTGTCGTACACACATCGTACACACAAGCCTGGACTAGGCGCGCCTCCTCCGCTGCTCCAGAGCCTCGCATTAATACCTCCAGAAACAAAGCAGTCTTTTTTTTTTTGGTCCAGTCATGGGGCCTGAGCTCTGGGCCTGGGCGCTGTCCCTCAGCTCTTCAGCTCAAGGCTAGCACTCTACCACTTGAGCCACAGCGCCACTTCCGGCTTTTTCTTTTTGCTTATGTGGTGCTGAGGAATCGAACCCAGGGCCTCATGCGTGCAAGGCAAGCGCTCTACCACTGAGTCACCTTCCCAGCCCAACAAAGCAGTCTTGAGCACAAGTACACAAGAAGCGTGCACCGCCGCCACGGCCCGTAGCAACCCGCAGCTTCCGAAGCCGAAAACTGCCGCAGCCCTCGCGGCGAACTCGGCTGACCAATCAGAACCCGCTCCTTCGGGTCCCGCCCATTCCTAAATTGGACCTCGCGTCCTCGGCCTCAGACTCTGACCAATCAACTGTGAAGGATGCCATCAGTTCCGCCCCCAAATTGAAACTACCGCCTGGCTCCGCCCCAACGACCAATCAGAGGCCTCGGGAAGGCCCCGCCCCGGGGCGTGGCGAGAGGAGAACCGAGCGCGGAGCGGGCGGCGGCTGGTCGAGTGGGTGTGGGGCTTCCGGGCGGTGAGTGCCGCGGCCGCCGGGCTGAGGAGGAGGGGAAGGAGGGGGGGGAAGGGTCCCCACGTGCGTCCCCGCCGGGGCGCTCGGGCCTGCGGAGGCCGACCCCGCTTCCCGGGTCCGCCCTCGCCCGTTACCTCTGCCGGCCTGTCCTCCGGACGCCCCCCTCTCTGGCCTCCGCGCAGGTCGGCCTTCGCGAGCGCGGCGCGGCCGGAGGGGAACCCAGCCTGCCGGCCGCGCGCTTCACTCCCGGCGGAGGCCGACCTCGGGCCGCACGGGCGTGGCCCCGAGTCTCCGGACCAGGTAACGGTGGGGCCTGCGAGTGTGTCCCGCCGCCGGGAGGGCTTCCCCGGACGCCTCCCCACTCCCGGCCCCGGTGCCAGGCCTGGCCTGGCGTTCACCACCCGGTTGACGTGGGGCAAGTTCCTAAACCTGCTTCCTGGTGAAAAGCAAAGCTGAGGCTGCAGAGCATGCCTAGCAAGCTGCAGCCCCGGATTCAACACCAGCGCTGACTCGACAGCAGTCACAAGCCCCCCAAACGATGACTGCCAGAGTGAAGATTAAGAGGTGTCTGTGACCCTAAAATTAATTAAAAGAAGAGAGGGAGGGAGGAAGAGGGAAGGCAGGAACGGGTTAGGAATCGAGCTGCAGGTACGTTACATATACATTTGCAGACTGCCACTGGTTCCTCTGTAAGTCAGGGAGTCTCGATTTTCTAGAAAGGCCTTAGGGGAAGTTGCTCTCTTGAGGGGCCGGATCCCATTTACTAATACAGATGTGCTTGCTATGTGACTAGCACTGCTGCCTTTTTTTTTTTTTTAATTTTATTTTATTTTATTTGTGAACAAACTGTACAGAGGAGTTACAATTGCATGGGCAGGATAATGCGTACATTTCTTACCAAGCATTGCAGCCTCCTCCTTTGTTTACCCTTCCCATCCCTTCCCAGCCTCCCCCCTGCTGCCTTTTTTTTTTCCCCTTTGTGCCAGTCCTGGGCCTTGACCCTTAGCTTTTAAGCCCAAGGCTGGCACTCTACTATTTGAGCCTCAGCTCCACTTCCAGGTTTTGGTAGTTAATTGGAGATCAGAGTCTCATGAACTTTCCTGCCTGGCTGGCTTCAAACCATGCTCCTCAGATCTCAGCCTCCCGAGTAGCTGGGATTCTAGTTTATAAGCCCCTGGTGCATGGCACTCCAGTTTTTCTTTTTTTCCTTTGCCTGTTGTGGGGCTTGAACTCTGGGCCTGGGCGCTGTCCTTCAGCTGTTCAGCTCAAGGCTAGCGCTCTACCACTTGAGCCACAGCGCCACTTCTGGCATTTTCAGCTTATGTGGTGCTGAGGAATCAAACCCAGGGCCTCATGCATGCAAGGCAAGCACTCTATCATTGAGCCACCTTCCCAGCCCCTCCAGTTTTTCTTAATCAGGTAGTTATTGCTACCCTGCTCGACAGGTGAAGGAAATACGCACAGAGAAGTCATGTAATTTGCCCAAGGCTGCACAGGAGAATTCCAGAAAGGAGTTGGAATCTGGGCCTCTGGCACCAGGGTGCCCTTCCCAGCCTTCA